GCATGTTACTTTAAATCATACACTATTATTATTATGTTACTTTAATTTTGATTTTTATTTAACATAGGTACTTTTAATAAATTTTTGACAAAGAAATCTCGGCCATATTTATATGGACAATATTATAGCCAATAATTTCCAATGTCGAAAATTCAAACAGGCTTTAAACAGGCAGTTAAACGGATGATGTATTCATCCAGGTACGCTCATATAGATACGCAAACTTTAATTCGGATTTGACTAACGGATAGGAAACCAGTTTATGGATATGTATGGATACGAGAGTAACGACGACGACTTTACGCACCGAAGCTAAAGCGCGTCAATCTCGAGAAAGTTTTGAATCGTTACAGCTCGAAATTTCGCTCACGTTCGCCAAAACTCCGTCCGGCTATTGAGAATCGAACACAATCAAACTACGACGCGTATAAATGCGCGCGCACACACACACACATACGTATGTGTGCACGTGGTGCGTTTCTCTATTGCTGTGTACGACGATTAGTTTGATATATTCAAATTGTCACTCAAGTTTCACCCGGCTTCACGTTTATCTCTATGTTTCGTTCGTCCTCCAGCGTTCCATCTTTCTCTTTGTTGTTCATAATCGATATCACCGAGGTGGAGACACAATCGCGAATCATGTCACAATTGGCTCGTTCCATTTTAATCCCGTTTCACGCTATACTGTGGTTAGCTCGCAAATCATTTTGTGTGAGTTCAACACAAAAATGTAGGTAGGAATTGTAGGAAGTCTTGCAATATTGCAGGGTGTTTTTACTGAAATTGTGTAAAAAAATTCCCTGAGAATGTCCGTATTTTCCAGGTATTTTTGTTCAAAATTCCATGTAAGATGAGACAATTTTTTAATGCAACTTTGAAATAAATTGGAATGCAAATAAAATATATATTGAAATTTTGTAGACGAATATTTCACGAGACTGTTTCTATCACTTTTTACACCTCAGTAAGTTATTCTATTTTACCGAATATTGTCTTCTATCGTCTCACTCTAATTTTTTAAATAAAAATTTATAAAACGTACATGAAAAAATATGTAAATACTTTTTCATGTAAGTACGTATATAGATGTATACATCATGCTTATTACTAATCGATCGTCAACATTTTGTATTAGTGTTTGAAAAGATCGATATAAAAAAATATCAATATTGGATCGGTATTTGGAGAAAAAAATCGATCGGTCTCTGTATCGATACTTATCGATACCTTCGCAAAACTTCTGGTTTTGTTTGTAATTCCTTTAAAATAGATTCACATTGAAAAATGTATTTATTTTTATCACAAGATACATATTTTTGTGTAGGCAGTTTGATCTTTTAATACCATTAAATTACAAAAATAAAAAATAAAATTTTTTAAATAAAATTTAAAAACAAACAGAAATCAGTTAATCTACTTATGTGATAATATCACATGAAAAAAATAAATAATATTTTAGAACTATTTTACTAGTTCTATTTACCAGTCTTTATATAAATCACATATACAATATATTGCAGGGTTTACTTACAATAGAAGTCGTAGCGGTCGTAGAGTCTTAAGTCGTAGAAAACTAATCAATTACAGTCGAATATGAGAAGAACAATCGACTATGATTGGTCAATTTTCTATAGCTTGAGACTCTACGACTTCTATTGTAGACCCTGCATATGTTTATTTTAAAGGAGATAAGAGATATAATATATGCCTATTTTAATGGAAATGAGATACGCCATCTCTTAAGCAATTGATACTCCGAACGATCTCGGAAAGCGGATATGCACTTGTACCAGAGATATATTGATACCGTATCGATATTCCTATCGATCTTTTCGAACACTATTTTGTATTATCAAAGAATATCAAAGAAATAAATAGTCTGTTTTCTGTTCTTGTACTAGACTGCACTAGAATTCTCTTTCTCGCTTTCGACAAATATCAAACATATACCTATCTCATTTTAAGTTTTTAAAGTGAACACCAGTTCAGCCACAGAAAACAGATCTAAAGTTTCCAGGAAAAACAACAAAATTTAAATTTAACAGTAAAATCCCAAATATTTTACCGAATACCGATAAAATTCCATAAAAATTTGATATATTATTTTCAAGAGTAAAAAACAAATCCCTCCAAAATTCCAAGTTTTTCCAGATAGTAACCATTGTATTGTATCTATTAATAGTGAATATTATAATAGAGATTGAAACACATATTAGACACTTATGATTTACAAAAGAAAAATCTTTTATATCTCTTGTTTATGAGATTATTTTGTAAACATCAGTGGATACTCAATGATTTTATTTTTACTAGCATATATACTATTTTATTTTAGTTTAGCAAAATATTTGGTAACACATCATCTCTAATAGCAGTGCGTCCTATCAGAATATCGGTCACATGAAATGCATCTTTTCTTTCAACCGTAATCTTTTTTACGTGCGAGGCTCAAGGCAAATCGAGGTAAAGAGAGTAGGTGGAAGATGCCAAGAATGATTGTAATTGCCCGTTGCTCTTTGATTAAAGTGCCCCTAGCAAACTGCTATAAGTTCCGCGCTGGTAGGCGAGTTCATTAGCATGCTACCCGCCTGACGTCTACGTCGTCTACGTCGGGACTGACGGTGAGGCCAGCGTCGACGTCGGCGCCAATGTCAGGTTTGACCTCGACGTTGGCTCAAGTTGAATTCCCGTCACTTAAGTACTCAATAGTGGTGCTGCAGACTCCACACAACTATCTGCTACTCTTATTAACTGACAAACATTCTATATCTTTGTTACAGTTTGTATGGCTAAACTGTCTTCTCGACTCTTGGAATATACGCGCGAGCATCCATTTAATTAAGATACTCGCATTCTAAATGCGAAAAAAGTTTATTTAGCCATCCGTTGAGTAAATCAAATAAGTAAGAAATGAGTGAATATAGTTAAATTTTGACTTTGGTACCTGACAATATTTTTAAATGTAAATTCTAAGTACATCTTTCAGTTATATAAACTGCTAACACTTACTGTCGGACTTGAAACTAAAATAACTAAAATAATTGATCTATTGGCATATTTTAAAACCACGTAAAGAACTTATGGCGAAAAATATTATCTCAATTAAGATTCAAACTTAGAACTTTATGACTATTCGGGGCGAATCTTTTCCAATTTGAATTGAAGTATGTGATAATATCTATCTAAAGAATTTTCTAGACATGGCAAGCCTATATCGGTTTCAGATTCAGCTAGAAGCTTCCGTAGAAAAAAAAGTAAAATATTTTCTCCTAAAACAAACGTGCTGTCGTACCATGCCGAGGCCATGTGGCGACTATTATGTATTTCGAGGCTAACGTTGGAAAAAACTTGTCGGCAACATACCTATAAGCACTGAACTCGACAGTGATGAAGATTGGATAGGCAACAGCATGCGGTAACACTAATTCGCAGAAACATTATTCTGGTCTTCCAATTTTCCGGTTGAAAGATTGAAGATACGTTTGAACTATAAAAATAGTAATTTTCTAGCTATCGCGCTCGATCGGAGATGGTTCTCTTTAAGCTAGTTCTCTTCATGCTGTTTTTCCTTTGCAGCGCGTTTATGTTCGCTTCGACAGTAAGTCATGATATTAACTGATTCTCCCGGGATTTGTAGCTCTCTTTCTCTCGAATGATGACAGACAAATCGGATAGTGCGTAAAATGATCGAGAAAAAGCACGTAATTAGACGCCTAAGGGGAAATGAATTCTTTCTGGTGGAACGATTAATTTGACCGAGAGAGAAGGGAAAAATTCGTTCGTTTTCTCATGTATAAATGTGTGTGGTGTGTGTGCGCGAGAGAGGACGGCGTTGGTTTTTCCATGTAATGTACGCGATTCTGCCTTTTTGCAGAGCCCTCGCTATTACACCGATCTGTCATATAAAACGCGAACTATTTGTATAATACTACGTGAAATATGAGCGCGAGTTTGCCGTCACATCATATGAATGTTATGTAACAAGAGCGACGAGTTCTTGTTAGCATGCCTACAATATTCGTAAAATTGAAACGTATATTCATTCCTGCACTACTTTGCCTTCTTATAATATTCTAACAATTTTAATACTACAAGATGATCATTCCTTCTGGTATTTTTTACCCTCTTTCGCTTTTCTTTATCACTTTTACCGTTCTCCAATCCATATCTTCGCATTTTACGGCGTTTCAAGTCCAGGCGATGACCAGACCGAGTGAATCGATGGCATATCGAATCAACCGTATTTATTCAGTAACCAGGTCGTGCGCATGAAGATAAGACTCTTTTCTTGATCCAGCGAAAACCAGCGCGCGCATGAGGCTAAATATATATATTCAGCTTGATCTTCTTTCGTAAATGTCTCTCATCGCAAAAATATAGAGAAAGAAAGAGAGAAAAATTCGTGCGCAATCTGCCTGAAGCACTTTGTTTACCACGTACCGTATAAAAGCCAGAAGCAAGGGAGGGGGGTGGGATTATTCGATACATTATCCTTTTTAAACCGTTGCGTCGTCTGTCTTTGATCCTAGCGATACATAATTTGTCTGGAAAGTAACGCATTTAGCCCCGTAATAGCGGGAGCTGATAACCCCCGTTATTTTTCATGCACGGGGAATTTCTACGGACGGGCAAATGTCCGTGGAGTTGGTACACTCTACGGTAACGTTAGCAGCGGGAAGCTCATTACTCGGGCAAATAGAGGTCTGAGATAAGAGCGTGGATGGAGGAAGGAAGAACGATCTCGCGCGTCTCACGTACCGTCTGTATCTCAATTTCCTAGGTAATCAGCTGCGGTTTACGATATACACGAAAACGCGCATTAAACCAATTCCAGCGTCGTGCACCGGACGGAATGATGTGTTGTTCCCGTCTGTGACGCATGAAGGAAAGGGTAATCCAGCGCTTTCATCCCCTGTCTTTCCTCGATCGTCGGACGCTCGACGATGATTATTTTCGCTCGCGTTGCTTTCTATAAAAAGCGCCGCTATATATTTTACGGTGTCGTGATTCGAAGCACCGCCATCGAATCAAGCAGGAGCTGCGGTATCAGCTCCTCACCTTCTCCTGCTCTTTCCTTCTTGTCCTCTATATGTAGAGACGAGTGCGCTGGGATCTGGCCGGTCGTAAAAATAAATCCGGGACTCATAATCTGTTTGAGAGGATAGCGCCTTTCTCGTTTGGCGACAGGGGATCCTGGACCCGGACGATGATATCGTAGGGAAGGAGTTTGCTCTCCGTTTTCAGAGAATTTCCTGTATTTCACCGCTCTTTCTTTTTCCTTTGAAGATCTTCTTGGCGCGAACGCTTGTCGAGCATTTTAAAATGTATTCGATGTTACCGGTGTTACAACCACCATCGGTAGCGGATTAACATTATTGTTGCAATGATGTTACAGCTGGCGTAATGCGGACGAGTAACTGGGCGAGTGCAGCAGCGCATAAAACTGTGCTTACGCAAACGATATTTCATGGCGGCGCGTGCGTTAGAGCGTCGACCATAAAACTCGATGAAATTTACACCGAAATGAGACTTTACCATACTTGAAACCATCTCGTTCCACCAACATGTCGGTTCGCCTTAATTTCAACACACGTATCCATACATGCGCATGGGAAAGTCGGACGATGGACAAAAGGGTGTTGCACTTATTTCTTTTCCGTCCACCAGAATAGAAAGTCTTATTTCGCAAAATTTATATCGTAAAATCGCCGTTTTCGCTACAAGTTGTCAATTTGCTTTTTCTAATTTTTTTTTACCCACGTTTTTCCATAATCCCATTTTTGTTCTTTTTTCGTAGTTTTAGCGTCTCTTTTTGCATTTGTCTGAAGCTTACAGAGAAAACCCGACGGTTCATTATCCTAATGTGACTGAGAGGAAGATAACCGATGCCAAGCGGGACCATCCGTGTTTCGTCGATAGCCGGCGGGAACAACCGAGAACGTCTCTATGTCGATGATGGATGATGGAAATGTTAACGAGGTTCCCCACAATAGACGTGGAGCAAAGCTGACCGGAACAACAATGCAGTGGGGGATGGATTTATCAAACGAGTCCTCTATATGTAAGACAAATATGAATACATAAGGGAAAATATGCAGGAAATGGAAATGGTAATTCGTTACTTATAACGAAGTTACAGTTACAAGTTACTTTTTTGGTAACTTTACTGGTAACTGCGTTACTTTTTTTCTTTGGTAACTGTAACGGTAAAGAAGTTACATTTTTTTTAATTCGGTAACGGTAACGAATTTTACAGTTATTTTTATAATAGATGTAAAAATTACATGATTAGTCCTGCAAATATAAAAATTATGCAATTTTACAGAAATTAACAAATGTAATTCTACAAAAATTATGTAAATTTGCTTTTATTGTGTAAATATATCTCATTTTATATGGAAAATTATGTAAATAGCAAGTTTTGAATATTTTCTGTAATTATTCAAATTTTAGTAATATTATATAATATAAGAAAATTTTTTGCTATATTGCTATTAAATACATATATAATAATATATAGTGCAAAATGTATTGCCATATTATCGGTCCTGTAACTACATACACATTGTAATTGTGCTTCCACAATCTGCTTAGTTACAAACCAAGAAATTATTTTTATTTGCATATTGCAAATTTATAAACACGTGGACGTTTACAACTATTACAGTGGGTCTCAAAATTACCCACTATAATTGTTGTAATTTTACAAAAAAATTTTTTACAGTGCATAGCGCTTGAGACTAGAGAAGCCCCTAGGCCCGTCCGCTGTGGTTGGCGGTCGTCGGTAACTGTTTACTTTTAAAAATCGGTAACTAGTAATAGTAATTTGTTACTAGTACTCTTTCTACTCAGTAATGAGTAACTGTAACTTGTTACTTTTAAAAAGTAACTTTCCATTCCTTGAAAATATGTATTCATATTTGGAGAGACACATTTGTGCAGTATAGATTTAACATCACATGAAAAATAATTAAAAAAATATTTCTCATGTCTTGCTGGACTTAACGCATCTCTTTTCGCAGTCGTTTCATTAATTAGGCTATTTTAATTTTATGAGCCACAGCCAATATGAACAGACGAGATTTCCCGAATTTCTCAAGACTCAATGTGTGGGGTAGGTCACACGCATTGTCAATTCCAATCTGGGAGGCTTTACGATGGAAGGAGCGACGCTGTGCATTAGCATCTCATATCAATATATAGAGAATTGGGGCATGTACAATTTCATTAGCAATTACGTGTTAATTCCGTATTTCCAGCACAGGGTATTTTTGTGACAAAAGCAAGTGTTTCTGATTTGGCAATAAACCATTCCATCTTGTATTATTTATTTTTGGGACTATGCCAAGTTTATCAAGAATTGTCTTATTGTCTCATCCATTTATTTTCATGTAATTGTTTCGTGTACTATACAATTGTTTTTACGTACTATATAATTGTTTTTACGTACTATACAATTGTTTTTACCTAATAGGATTGATGATAAATTGGCATCGTATACAGGGTGTCCCGTAAGTTTTGGCCAATCGCTTTTGTAGATAGAGTGGACTAAACTGAGATTTTGCAATTTTCGCAATGGTTAACGAGATTAATTACTAAAAATCAATAAATATTAGTTTTCAATAATTTTTTATTCAAATATTATCAACTTTACAAAAAAACAAGAGATAAAATTGTTTATTTTCTTCTTATAAAGCTCTGAAAATTTTTTCAGAATTTTTTAATACCGTATTCTTTTGTGGTAAAAATAAGAAAATGCAATAAAATGCAATAAAAAGTTGATAAAAAATTCTAAAAAAATTCTTAGAGTTCTATGAGAAGAAAATTAATGATTTTTGTCTCTTGCAGATTTTCTGTGAAGTTGATAGTATTTGAGTAAAAAATTATTGAAGAACAATATTTAACGACTTTTAATAATTAATATCTCGTTAATCATTGCGAAAATTGCAAAATGGTAAAGGACTTTTCGACTCAGTTTAATCCGCTCTATCTACACAAAAGCGATTGGCCAAAACTTACGGAACATCCTGTATAGTGTATCTGAAAATTACGTCTTTTTACGAAATCTCTATCCAATTTTGTTTTCTTAAAAAAAAAAAAAGAATTATATTTATTATAACTTTTGATTATTTGCATCACACATCTTTGTAATTATTGCAAATAAAAGATTTTTATAGTAACTATACCTAAAATTAATTAAATAATTAATTCTGTTTCCTCGATATATTTGTCTTCCCGCAATCTTGTTAAGTAAAAACCTTTTTTCTTAATTACTACGAGTAATTTAAAAGTTATTAACGTCTCCACATGTATTTGCTAAGGAAAAATCGATTCTAAATTGATTAAAAAACTTGTGATTAAAAAAAATTTCCGATGATTTTGGGATATGTAGTAAGTTAATTGAAGGGTCTGTTATAAACGATTTTATTAATGGTAGTAGTGTGTGCGTGGGTATGTGTGTGGATAATATAAGTCCTCAATTATTTAGATTACTTACGTGTTATGATAACGGAAGCGTTAAGTTCTTTATTCTTAAATCAATATATCAGGGAGTCTATTAAATCCGTATCAATATAGCAACGTTGCTAAAAAAGAGAGAAAAATACAAGGAAAATTAATGTTAGAGAACCAGTGAGGGAAAGAGAGAAGAATGAGATTTTTTAGTTATCGCTATAAACTATGTATGAAAAACAGATAATGAGATGATATTTCCTAACGATGTTCTACTTCGAATTTCACCGATGTCAGATCTGTTGGAAATTTGGAGTAAGAACGTTTAGGTGGTGGTGGAAGTGGAGAAGAGATGAATGTACCGCGATTATTTGATCTCTCATTAACATACGGAGTCCACGGGTAGCGTGATTCGTACACGTGTTATGTTGCGCACGCACACATCTGTCGCGTCGTGTAACGCGTGTATATACTATATCGGAGGTCGCCGTTCTCCACGCGTGCACTGCGCGGCGTGTGCTCGCCAGATGTCCAAGAGCGGGATGCTGGTGCGTCCTGCTTCGTCGGGCGCCCTCGGTCCTCCCACACGGTGCGGTTGCGGCGCGGCGCGACGCGGTGCGAACCGACGCGGGTGGGTAGGAGAGAGGAACGCTGCTGAGTGTGGAGAACGGAACCGTTCAGTCGCAGCCACGAAGCGGCGCCGTGCGCGACGACGGACGACGACGGACGACGACTAATCGTCGTCGACAATTTCGGATGATATCCGCGCACGCTATATTCTTCTCGTCATCGGTCGTCTCGTCTCCGTTCGCATCAGAAAGAGGTGTTGAAAATTGAATTTCTACCCGGAAACATCATCGATCTGACATCAACTTTCCGCCACACGATCTCTGTCTCGCGATTTTCTCAACATCTTTCGCGCCGCGAACGTGAGAGTGACGGCGCGGGCGCCCGACTCCAAAACGAATGATACGAATACTTTTTACGAACGTGCTTCACTTATCGGGAGCGTGGTGGTGAACGAGTACCGCAGCGTGGGTAGCGGTGGTCGCATCTATAATTAACCTTGGAGGAGGCGTCTGGCAGAGGAACAAAGCACCATCTCTGCAAGAATTTAGGTCCATCAGTGAATTCTCGATGAAAACGGACTTTTGGTGAATTAACAACGCGATGTAGAAAAAACAGAGGATACGACTTGCACATCATTAATTTCTTCTTGAACGTTCCCTAATAAATGCCACGTTTTGAATAATTAGCCAGATCCATATGACGATACGTAGTAACTTTGGGAAGCGATCTTTGGGACAACTATCGAAAGAGGATTATTAACCAGCGGTATTGATGCATTCTGTGGAATAATGAACTTGGACCTGGATAACAGTTGTGGCTTACAAACAGAGTGGTTCGTCTATGGAACTTGAGGCAGTGAACTGTGCAATCGTTTGGAAGGGTAACTTTCTTGTGGTTTCCCAGGGTGTAAGTGTGAAATCGCTTCATCGTCATTCGGCATGAATTTTGCGACATGAGATATATATGTTACAGAACGGGAATCGGAATTAACCGCGTGACTCATTTCGGAGAAGTGATATTCTGAGCGACACCACCTCGGTCACGTTTCACGAGCCGAGTAATTCCTCGTGGAATCTGAATTAACGGCTTCGCGTTGGCCTCTCGTCGGCGACGTTACATCGGAAAACGACGATAAAGACCGAATGATTAAGAGGGAATGATTAAAGCACTCGGATGTTCGAACCCGTAAGAGAACGCATCGCCAGGCACGCTCTGATCCACGATTAGGAGGAGGTCGATCGATTTCGGAATTAACAGCCCGCGAGTGTCAAACGAGCCGCGACAGGAACATCAATACCCTAATAAATGTCACTCGCACGATCGATCGTCGCCTTTTGCCAGCCATGACGTAAAGAGAGGATTTAACAGCGACGAGGGTCAACGTTGTCGAGAGCGGCTGTCGGGATCGGCTGTCCACGATCGTATGCAGGTCCCGATCTCCCGTGTGGGTGCGTCGAAGTTCGTGATCCTGACACCGCTTAGGGGGGTGGTCCCCTACAGTTATGCACGGATGGAGGATGAACTGCAGTGCGTGAGGGAGAGAGGTGATCGCTCCTAAACCGATGAGATGACAGTGCTGTGCGTGCTGTGGGCTACTCTGTCCACTGTGGCCTCGATTCTCGCGTGCTCCGGTTTTTATCTGCCTTACTGGATTCAGGTGAGCAATCTCGTTACGCGCTTTTAATTATGTTATGCCATTATAAAGAATTATCAAAGTAGAGATGCACCTTTCAAAAGTTTTTAAACTCTGCGTTGGAGCAATGTTTAAAGATTATAACAGTTAATCGCGAGGGAATCTTGAAGGAGTTATGAGGTAGCCACAGATGATTAACGAAACACGAGGGTTCTGTTCTTTCTGCTTCTTGTTTTTCTTGGATTTACGTAAATTAACACTAAATCTTTATCATTAAATCGATACCGCTTTTTTTTCTCTGTCGCGCGATACATTAGCGCTCTTGGACGTTTAATGGTCATTAAAGTGTGACATTAATGGGGCTATAAAGTAGGGTATCGATAAATACGAAAGCACAACTCGTCCAATCGGATAGGGATAAAATAGCATTATTACCGTTTACAACTGAATTAGTTCCGCGATGATATACTACTAGCCGATAGTCCGATATGCACGATTAGCGAACAAATGATTGATAGCTTTTACCTTATTTTTACACGGAGAGAATTTTTTTTTTAATTTACCCTGAGAAAATATGGTAGTTGTCTCGGTAGTTCATAGTGTGGTACACTGAAAACAAAATCTTAATTTCAAAGATATTTTTCTTTGCTCGTATTAACAAAAATGATTTCTTTGGATCAATGAAAATTTCTTTGAAAATAAGATATTATTCAATTCAATAAGATATTGTACAAAATATCTTATTTTTAAAGAAATTTGGATTCATCCAAAGAAATTATTTTTTTTAATACGAGCAAAGAAAAATAGCAAAGTACAATACAATATCCTAAAGATTTTTACAATGCAGTAAAATTAATCAAATTTATTTTATGCATATTTTATTATAATTTTATGAATGAATGAGAGAAATTTACGTAAAATTCTTTGAAATATACGTTGTACCATATTTTCAGAGTAAATTCTAAGAAAAAATTCTCTCCGTGTAGCAACTTTTAGAATTATATTTATGGAAATTCACCTACGCTTACAAATTTAACTTCACTGCTCTGTTCCATCACTATAAAATTCTATGACATCGTTTTTCGCGTTTTTGTGACGTGGAAGGGTCATTCTGAATTTCACATACACGATCGTAGTTTTTGCATTTTCCATGACGTATCTCCGTATCTCCATAAGGACTTCGCATCGTTAACATGACGATGACGTGAAGATATGAAGAAGTCGTTTTCGCTTCTTCGCTTATCGTCGAAGGGTCTCGTATCGACGATTTTGACGACTGTGAGAATTTCTCTGGCACGATCATAAAGCGATTTAATAGGCGCCGTGATAAAATTGACGAAATTGCGTGTTCGGTTACGAAGGTACTGGTAAATTTATGAGTTTCAACGACGTGCATACCAAGAACGTTTCATGATTTCAATAAGGCGTGTCAAGTTTATCGATACATTTAGCGTATCGAGGTACGTTGAAATTATAATTCAGGAGAGAACAGAATGTTGTATACTTATATTAAACGGAAAATTGTATGTTTTTCTCACGTTATTTCTTATGTCGTGTGCTTTGCACGTATATTCAAGCGGCAGTTCATTTATCACTCTCGAGCCATTCATTGGAAGATCAGACGGTTGAAACTCGCGAACTCGAATTTCAGGACTTGCTGAGGTCGGGTTACGAATAACGAGAGCGGCGCAACGGCTCTCCAATTCTCATTCCCATTAATTCTTGATTTCTGCTGCGTAGTTAAGTGTAATCCGATTATACATGTATCGATGTGTTTCTCAATAAATTAGCTGGGAACCATGAAGGCGAGCGCATGCCTTCGACAAAACGCGGATTAAAGGATATTCGTTTTAAAACGCCTTTGAACTTGCGAGCTTTAATGTTGAGATAAGATTGCAACATTACTCGTGGATAATGTTACTAGCTATTTACGTTTCATTTTCGTCCGTGCACAAGATGTAAAATCGGACGAGATGAATAGTAGCGGAGTTTGCGACAAAGAAGCGAAATACAAAAACGAAAAATAGTGAGAAAAGAGCAACTTGGAAATAAGAAAAGCAGAGAAGCTAGAGAAATAAGAAGTGGAAGGAGGACGGCAAAGAAAACGTGAGAAATCGAACAAGCTCGAGTCATCCGACAAGATGGATCGTAGAACGGCGATAGTAATCGAATTCTTCGTTCTAAACCACGAACGAACCGACGAAACTAAAACATTAGTTCTACAGCGCAAACGTCTCAATACACAGATATTTGTCACGTAATTAGTAGTTTAGCAAAGTTGAACGGACTAAAAGGAATTTATATTATAATAAAGTGAAAGATACGCGAGAGAAGAAACCTCAATATCAAAAGAAATGTATCATGTTAACGAATATGATAAAGAATTCAAAGTTATTAAGTTTTTTTAGACATTTGTAACTAGAATGGCAATAAAAAAATTAGTAAAAATGTATGTTGAAAATTGTAATAATAATTATATTCATGTAACGAAACAATAATGCACTTATACATCAAAAAGTCCTGTAGATAATTCAGACAATTGAATAATTTCACTCTAACTACAATTCGGCATTGTCAACAAGTGTAACAAAGTCTTGATTGTGACGCGAAGCAAAATTTCGGTCCTTGAAACTTACTGAGACGTTCGTTACGCGTACAAGATTCTTGAACGCGACAAGAACGCTTTGGGCACCGACAACTTGGTAGAGAGAAGTTGATGAGGCGAATATCGTCGGGTAACTTTGTACTTGGTGTGACTGCTACTTGCTTTTACCTGGCCTGGCCGATGTTGTTGTAGATTCAAGGTAGTTTGGCCTCACTCGCGACCAAATTGTTCATATTCCACGCGTCACGTCGCAAACGAAGCCGCCTCTCGAAAGAGAGAATCCTGATTTTCAGAATTATATGGTCAGAAAACTGCAACTTTTTCCGCTTCGAATCTATTTTACATTTTCTCTAGGCAGCTAACTTTGTACATAGACTTGACAAACCTTTTTACAGTTTTAGGTTCCACGGGTGGTGAAAGAAATTACAGTTTACTTTTCCGAGATCTTGTTACCGTTGATCATGGATATCCGTTTCTGAGAGCTCGTTTGTACAGTTTAGGATTAATGACGTATCGGTTCTCCGTATAGCGAATCACCGAAGGAATCTAGAGCTATAAGGGGAGCCTTGTTACAAGAGGAATCTTGTTAGCCAAAGCGTTTCATCAGTTTAATTAACAGATGGTGCTTCTCTTTAGAACCAATTATACATGTGTATATTTTGTCTATGTGAACTTATATAAGTGTCCTTTTTTTAGAATTTATAGCATGTATAGCTTTTTATAAGCGTAAATTAAGTACTACATTTTATGACATCACGTTTGTAAATAAATATAATTATTAACTCTACTGATTTGTTCGGATCTACTTGACGCAAAATGTAATTAATTTTCTTATTAATTACATTTTGCGTATTTTATTTAAAAACGTTTTTCTAGTATATGATAACTTCATCTGTTAATGTAAGATCTTTTTTTGTATAAATTTTTTATTTTTTTTAGAATTTTTAATCACGTTGATCCAAACGATATAATAAATTTGAATAGATCGGAGTGTAGTAAATTTGAATAGATCATAGTTAACATAAATTTCCATACGAATGCATTTACTTTATACGAACGTAATTTTGTATGATATATAGTCTCGTATGCAGTATAATAATATATCGTTTGTATGTATCTAACATGATTTTTTCAGAGTTTTGTTTAATTAGGATTTATGTTTGAATCAATTTTGTCACTATAATGGAAAAGTAAATTTTTAAAAGATGATTCTTTTTTCAATAAAAATATTATTGTAATCCTCTTTTTATATTAATTATTATATATATTTTTTATTCTTAGAAACGTTTAGATTCATTTATAAGTAGGAAATAAGAAATTTAATAAAAAAAAAGAACTTATTTATAAAATAAGTTCTTTTCGCGTAATTTTACGTTTAGTCAGAGACTTTTATTATGGTATATTAATGGAAACAAATGCGAAAAAAGAAACATGCTCGAAGGAAACGGCATTTGGCAAACGACAAGCGAGCTTATTACTTCTCCGCCAGACGGTCACGCTATATTTTTTCCGTATTAAGAGAAGCAATCAAAAGCATTCAAACAGGACGGCGAGACATTTTCTTTGGCGCCGTGTAAAATCTGTTGGAAAGGAGAGAAAATTTCCCTTGCTATGCCATCGCCTTCGCATATAAATGAATAGACTGTATAAGTCTTTTGCCCCGGATGCTGTTGCATGTTCGCGCGACGCGACAATCTTTCGTGCCACGAATCAGCAGCGTTCAAATGACGTCGACGTTTCTACTTTACACTTATTCAAATATTCCTCATCTTATTTCTGCAATTACCTTCCATTCTACTCAAACAACTCAGGAAAGTTACGTTAGAAAGGGGGGATGAAATTAAGTCTGCAAATTTCTTTAATATTTATGAGCTCTATATATTTTCATTGGCGGCACAGCCTGTAATTTCAAGTTTACTACCTCCAGTTTACTGGAAATTAGCGAGCTTTGGTGTTTAATATAGTTTTATTATAAAGCCTAGCGTTAAAAGGTAATAGAGTAACAACCGCATTTCCGCGATCTTGTGCATTTCAGGGACGACTGTTGGGAAAGGCTGACGCGTACTTCAGTTCCTTTCGGCGTTGCAACTACCCGCGAATCAGGGCGCCCAACGCCACGCCCGAGATAGTTTACGAGTGTGCGAGGTATTCCAGGTATGTATTCTCGCATCACTATATTCCCATATCAAAGCGAATGGGTGCAAGTACGTAACTACGATTAAGGATCTCGAGAAGCAAGAGACTCGCTGCTCATGGGCCGTTTGAAATGCTCGAAATGCTGTGGAACAGTTGTTCACTGAATCTGCTCGAGTCATTCTCGTGAATCAACGAGCCGGTTAACTAAAACGGGACCGGGATTTCGGATTTTCGATGCCAAACACCTCCCGTCAAACGCCATTTTAATTACCTCGTTTTAACGAGATCTCTAATTCAAGAAAATATTATTCTGATGATCAAGATTGTAGAGCGCGTGGACGAATTATTATATTATCAGAGTAAAATAATATATTCGTTCCCTGCGATAGCAATATGGAGTAAAATTGATATATGTTTAAAGAAACGTTTTACGTATGATGCTTTTTATTAATAAATAATAATAAAAATAATACATGTAACATTGTCAACTAATTAATATAAACGAGGATTAAACGCTTGCTGGAAATGAACATTCAGCGTGAATCGTGAAATTTAAATTACACAATTTATGTCGTGCGCGTGGAAAAAGAAATTTGCACACTTTCGCGAGCTGTACACGAGGGAGTAATATTCGAAGTTTTGGTGACGGACGGATTAATTTGAGTTCAGAACGAGAATCCGGATAATTTTAGTCGAACTCAAGTGTACAATTTGTAGAATAATTTCTTACAAAATACTTTGCAAGAATGTCGCGTAAAAAAACGGACATATCGTGCTATAAAAACTTTCTTCGCAAACTACATCAATTTTGTCGCGTACGTGGTCGTAAAAGTCGTGGTCGCTCGCGGCATTAAAACTGAGGCATTATTGTTAACAAAAGGAATTATGAAGAATCAAGTACGAAAGAAATGAGACACGATTTTTTCTTTTTTCTGCGCAAAACATTCAGATTTAGAGAGATGGCATATTACATAAAACATTCAAAGAACGATTACATCTTATTTGTTTTATCTAAATAAACGAAATATTTTTCGCCTGTTAATGTAGAAATTAATTTACGGTCAATCCTCTTAAGCCTCCGAGCGTGAAAAAATAATTGAATTAAGTACCATCATTCAATTTTCTATGTATTTTCAGAAACAATATACAGGGTGTCCGGTAAGTTTTGACAAAGTGTTCATATGTAGATAGAGACTAATCTGAGTCGAAAAGTCTTCTACTATTTTGCAATTTTCGCAACTTTTGTTTTAGTTATTCAATGAGCAGAATGTCTAAAATCGACGCATAAAACAATTTTAAGAGTTCTCTTTAAGAAACATCTTTAAGATATTTCATAAAGAACACCGAAAGAAATCTTAAAGTTGTCTTATGGGTTAATTTTATTCAACAATCTTTAGATAATATCTCGTTGATTATTGCGAAAATTGCAAAATGGTAGAGGACTTTTCTATTTAGTTTAGCATTTTGTCAAAACTTACCGGACACACTGTATAAATAACAATAATTCTAAATTATATTGTGTAATTAAAAATATATTTAAGTTACACGTAACTTATATTAAACTTGCATTAAAATAAATTTGCACTCATTAAGCATGCACGAAAATAAATTTTCGTAATATTAATAATGTTAATATCGTTAATATCAATATACCATATTAATCGATATACATTTGTTTACGTGATAATACTGATAATGACCATAATAACGATAGTCGCAATAACGGTGTGCAAAATGCGCGTGATTAATCGGATTTAGTTGCATTTTGAGTGCAAAATACAAAGGTATTTGCAAATCATGTGTTTTTTTACCGCATTATGTTTTTCCGCAACTATAATAAAAAATCGAATCCCCGTATTCACTCCGTAAAATCGGTGAAAACGTTAAAAACAAAAATTAAAGTCTATTCCAAATTCGAATTACGGTACATCTGCTGTCGACTGCAAAGAGGATTTGCAATCGAAAGTACATGCGAAGTTTGCATGTATATGGTAAAAGTGAAGCAGCGACCCATGACAAATTATGCAAGTCCTCTTCTTTTTTGTTGCTTGCGCACTCGTTGATTGATCTAACACTCCGCCCTCGTGCATCGCTGATGCACTCGTACGCGCAATCTGTAACGTGTTTCGCAGATGGTCGTAGAAATCGTAATATATCTGAGGTTTCATTTGATGCCGCTTGAATCGATGAGTCTTACCTGACAGTTAAGAGAATTACAGTTTTGCGCTACATGAGTTGTTAGTTTGTTAGTTTGTTAGAGTTATAACAGACAATATGATCGATTTAGCTATACGTATGTATTGATGACGTCAGTAGCGGTATAGAATTGTATGGAGATTGTTCTGACAAGTGCGTGTGTGTTCTTATTTCACGAGAGCATATACAACTGCGGAAAAGACAAAAAATAAAGTAACGCGCGTATCGCTATTATACATTTTTCAAAACGCTCGTCAACAGATACGGAACTTGATTTTCTCTAATGCGCTTTATTCTCGAATCAGTTTTAAAACAAGCGGATTTCGACGTTAATATCACGTTAATTAAAGTATATGACTATTATTGTAATGTAGCTAAAATGGAATTATAGCATTGCCTTAATATTTTTATCTTCGGGAGGATTTTTTTTTGTAAAAAAGAACATGTATTATACTTTCCATCGAGAATACCGTGTGGCAAACACGAGCGTCGACAATGAGTCATCCACAGATTTAATTCCGCTTATACTCTTTCTAACGAGATCTCGCTACAAAAAGGGATATAAAAATATGTATCTCGCGTATGTACCTCTGATTTAATTTTCGTAAATTCGTATGTAGGTCGGATGGTGTCACTACCACCATCTTATGAAACCGCTTCATGTTTTCGTTCCTTTTTCATCTGCGATATAGACTCGGCCAAATAAAGATTCACGGATTCGTCGGATCCGCTATTCATTAGATATGTAATAATACTGATAATTTTTTCAAGGGAATTTAATCTTAATGATTAGATCTGCTCTGTGAGTTTAATGTCGACATTTTGCAAAATGCATCTTACATTGTTATTATTATTACTATTATTATTGTTATTATTATTATTATTATTACGTTGATTTCCATGCGTTAACGACCTTTTTTGCAGCATCGCAATGTAAACTCACCGGATACGCATTATAGCTGTTTCAATATCTGATTCTCGAAAGTGTCGGTTGTACCACAAGCAATTTCCCGATTGGCCAAGTGCGCACGATAGCGTACACACGCGAAATGTGTATCTCCCTTCTCTTCCGCTCCCTAATGCAAGCAATACAAGCACGATAAGTGCTAATAGCTGGTCTCTGCAAATCGAGACGTTTCGATAGTTCTATTAACGTTACCTTTCGGCACGTAATCAACTCGGCAATTTATTGATTAGTTTCACGGCACACAAATTTCACAAAATAATTTCCTAAAATATTCAAAGTTATCTTTTATGTCATTATTATACTACTGAATATTCTTTTAATAGTACAGTTATTGCAACGACATTTCAATAAATATGCACAAAATATTTCGAGAATCGGATTTATTCAAAGTTAGCTGACACAGAAAGCTATACGAATTAGCAACGCCCGAAATAAATAGTAGGTTGAAGGAAAAGTTACGAAAATGTAAGAAATACGAGTGGCTTCAACTTTGCTCGCTACGATTGATAATTTATTTTTTTTTTGCGAAATAAAAGACGGAACAATATATACGATGTTTTATGTTAGAATACCATCCCGAAAAATATCGTGTTTAGTCATATGGTTAACAGATCAAAACTTTGAGAAGTTAAAAACAGATAATACAATATTTTACGCGACGATATCTCTCACAAATAATATTTGCATAGAACGAAAAATATTCCGCACAGTTACGTTTCGTTCGTTTCCATATCCTCTCGCATCACCCTTTCGTTTTTCGGCATCGGCAGTTTCACTAGAGAGCTGATTCTTTATTTGAAATAACATTCAACGTTATATTTTTTTAAATTTCTATAGAACGTTTGTTTGTGTTTGTGTCTGCTTTATAATATTTTTCATTGATAAATTATAGCATATTTGTGCACTTGAAATATTCAAGTTGCGACTCCAAGATGAAGATATCAGCTGAAAAACTGTGTTATAAATTACATAATGTAAATTATCAATTTTTGTTCAAAATACCAGAAAATTCTACAAATCCATCATATAATTTAACTTGATTTTGCTTAATTTTGCTGTGAAAATTTTGATTGTATATCGAAATGCAATAGCCGAATGATTTTACGTATGAGTTAGTTTCTATAATATTATTGCATTATTGCATCAGGATGTAATTATTTGAAAATAAATTTACTCCCTCGTTTTGCTTGAGGCATTGGCTCGATAAATTCGCGCTAATTTTGTCATATGCACTGCGCATGTTATTGATTAATGTAGAAAGATAAATATATAAATACCGAATAAAGTTTATTTCGTTAAATTCGTGATAAACACATTGTGAACTAATTGAAACTTCGATATTATTTGAATCGTTCTATTACACAATTAACAAATAATACATTTTTGCACCAATAATCATAATATACTCGGTTTCATTCAAAGAATTATTAAATAATGCTCTTGTTGCCACTGACTATATATGTATAAATATTCTTTTTAAAAGATACGGAAAAGGTTTCTAATTAATAATAATGAAATTCCCGTAATAAATAATGAAAATAAATAAAGGACAAACGGGCAATTGGGAATTGACATGTGAGTGATCGGTGCGTAATGTTTTTCAAAAAGCTTTATCTTACATAAATGAAATGAGATTTGTACATGTTTTGGCTAGCCTTCTTCAGCAAAAACATACGATGAGCAGTCAAGATCCATGAAATTGAAGATGTAAACTTACGATGTTAACAAAAATTGGCATGATTTGGTCATAATCGTTTCTAATTAAATTATTGCAGAGTTTTTTTTATCATAAGCGATGTTTCGTTGCAGTTTTTGGGACATACCGAGCGCTTGGTGGCAGGCGAGCACAGTCACGATGGGTATCGGCGTCGCGATTGCAGTGATCGGCGCCCTGACACTTTTGGCAGCGGCATCGTCATTCCTTCCGCATATTCTTAAAACGCCAAAGCACACGAGGATTCTTGGTTCCTTGCAATTGCTCGCTGGTGAGTGTATTATATTTTTCGCAACTTGTAATTACATTTCGCTATTATATGTGCGTCCGTTACCATCAACGTTCCGTTACTATTATCATTTATGAAAGAAAAATATTTTTCGCATATCATTAAATTATATATGATAAAATAAGCTTCGTATCCTTTTATTGAGCATGAGAAAAAAATAATGCACCTTCAAAAATGACAACTCATCCCTGCTGCGTTTCAAATTGATGCGAAAGCAATGGAGCTGCGAGAGACTCGCATTTCACAGCGAAATAATGAACTGTTCCCAAATAAAATAGATATCAAGCGACGTCATTCTTCTTCTAACATTGACATATTCCATTTACGCGCTTCAAGTTAGTTCGTTGTTTTCGATCCTTTTCTACGTTCAAGGATTGCTTTCGAAAAATGACAGAGTCACAGACATGATCGATGCAGGATGAAGCTGGGAATGTCATAATACTATTTATTTTAGAAGAAAAGCATTTGATCACACAACGTTAAAATTACAAATTTCGCGTGAGCAATGCAGCTTTTTTTGCTAAAATATTCATATTTTGCAAGCAAAGCAATCTAATCTCATTCTTCATCTTTATAAGTAATATTTTCAAGGGGAAGAAACTTATTTAATCATCTTAACAATATTATCAGTACTACAAAAGAGTAAACAGATGAAATTGGTCGACACTTTTCAACGGTAGCTACACTGTTAAAAATGTTTGTGAATTTACATACACTTACAATAAAAATGTGCAGTAAATTTGCAAAACCATATAATGTTTTACTGTGATTTCACAATATTTGCAAATTTACAACAGAAATTTGTTATGAATTTATAAAACTGGCTCGCCGCGCATACACACCAGAGATTTGAATATACTTTACCACAAAATGTTATTGTAATATCACAATATAACTGTTTAAATTTACAGCACATTTTTGTTGGATCAAAACTTCCAACATTTCAGGAAGTTTACAAGAGAAATTTCTTACAGTGTAAATTCAAGTGCGCAATGAAAAATTGATAGGCCATTTTCGTAAACTTGTTACAGCCACGATGATATGCGGCGGCCTGGTCATGTATCCGATAGGCTGGGATAATCGGGAGGTACGCGAATCCTGTGGGAAGGGGGCCAACGTTTACAATCTCGGTGAGTACCCTCGAAACATCGTTTTCGAGTCTGCAGGAACGCGATGTAGGTATTATATCGCGGGATGCGAACCGCGTGGAATGATGCCGGAACTTAATTTCGGCGGAATGTGACGCGCGAGTTATTGATTTAATTTGATATCTAATTAACGTGCTCGCGACAGCCTCGCTCGCGCGCGCGCGCGCGAAAGAGGAGAGTTGCTTTAGTTGCTCGTTTTCTAGTTTAACGACGTCTTCAGCGAGAAATTGCCGTTCCGATGCGACGCGACGTGGCGAAATCTGCGGATATGTGTCCGTACGTAGTTACTCTTAAGACGTAACTATCAAGCGATGACAGCGATGACGACGACGACGACGACGATGGAATCAGTAATGGAACTTTCTGCATTTTCGCAGGCGAGTTTCGCCGGAGCGTTTTATCGAACACTCAACGATTTACAATCATTTCTCGAGACTTAACATAAATCAATCGAGACTTATGGCTCTTGTGTGTAACTTTACGGGACAAATTCACATCTCACTGGTCTCAGATGTAGTTTCTGATTTCCTCGTAATTTCCCAACGCGACACGTAACGATGCGACTCGACATCGTCGATCCGATGATTTCCCTTTCAATACTCGAGGGATAATTCGTTATTGATTCTCCATGACTGCGGATGCATACGTTGTATTTTGCATGCAGGATCATCTCTGATAAATCCGCATCCGGTTTAACCGCGTGATAAAATCCGAAGAAAATATTTGCTTATTTATTTCACGCTGCTATGTCAAATAGAAATTGTTGCATTAAAATAATCTTAAATTTTTTTCTTGTATAATATGAAGATTTCATCAAGATGTCTCAACATTTTTTTTAGTTATAATATATATAAAAAAAGCAATTTTGCATCGACAAAGGAAACCTTTGATAAAATTAACCAATTTCACAGTATGTTTTGAATGTGGGCGCGGTTGTACATTTTTTGGATAGAATTTTGAAGGGTTATGGAATATATCCAGCATAATCCGTGCTATTCGGTGTACAGGTGACAAGTAATCCCAGGTGAGTGCTAGGAATAGACCCGGATTGGTAGGTCAAACCGACGTCAAAACCAATGTCACAGCGATGACGACCGAATCACATATATTTCCAATAGAGTAGTTAAACGTTAGTTAAACGACATCTCTCGCGGGTTGAAAATTAAACTTATTTATAAATTCTGATAGAAGCACCAGTACGTTCCAATTATCTAAAATTGTTCGAACCGATCATTACCATCGATATATTCCAAATTATAACACAATCATAAATAATATTGCTATTGTTTTAGCGTTAAATTAGATTTATAGGTATTCTATTTACGTCAGTAACAATATCGGTTATACTTATTATTACGTTCATTTATGCTATTATATTGTCATCAGGTTTAAATGGAATGCTTCGCTCTGTTTATTTCTATCGAAAACATTTATTTATACTAGTATCAAGATAAGCTATTGTCTAAAATTGACAAAATTAATAATATATAATAATATAATATTTAACTCTTTGTCGACAATATGGAGTTTTAACTCTTCCATCAACATAGAGGGCCTTTGAGAAACACGAGCAAATGTTTTTTGTTTCGGATTATATGAAAATCTGGAAAAATTCTGGTATACTTGTCAAAGCTTTAATCCTCCGCGAACCAGGTGAGATGTGACATACCCCAGCAAAATGAATTTCTATAGCTTTTTAGAAAGTACCGCGCGCATGTCATCGGTTTCATGCAATTGCGAAGAATGCGTTATTACCAATCATACTAAATAATTAGTATATTTATGATAGCATATTTATGATAAAGTCTAGCACGGGGTATGAGATATATCCACATATGATGTACTCGTATGTTGATTTTCCACCTGGTTCGCGGAGGGTTAACAATATTGTTTTACTATCATATTTTGTACAGATTTAAATCTGTCTATCAGAATGAGCAATCGAAATATCGATGGTGCCTTTAAGAATCCATGTTGTCGGCAGAGGATTAAAATTGATTATAATATTGTAATATCGTAGTGATGTTTTTAATTAGAGCCGTTGCGTAATTGAAAAGCAATCTTTTATCTCCCTAACTGCAATATCTGAAAAAGTATTTTCTGCAAGTAATTATCTCCTTAATTCCTGGCCTACGCCATAAGACAAATCTATCCGTCTCAATTTATTAGCCTATAATCTTGGTGCGCTGATTAAGGCATTACAAGCGACAATAATATTGAACCTCGGCACGTCGATTAGGCCGACTAAGCTATTCTCGGAGAAATTCCCGTGGGTAGCTACAGATCGGTGTTTCGCCAGGGGGGGATCACCGAGACAAGTCGATGACGGACGGATGCCATCTGTTTCAGGAAAGTGCTCGGTGTCCTGGTCGAGTCACTTGCTGGTCGGCTCGGTGGCGTTGCTGATGCTGTGCTTCGGCCTGAGCTTCTGCGCGGCGCGACACAAGCCCGACGCGAATCCGCACACGGATCCCCTGCGCATTTGACAATCGAGGTACTCTCAGTCGATACACGCCTACGCCTCGCCGAAGACGACCACACTCTCCATCGTCACGGTCTGTTGATCCCGCGTGCCTGTTGCGTGCACGCGTCGTGCGTACAAATATCGCGTACGAATTCCACGTATTGCGGAATCTCGCGCGCCTCACGGCAATCACGGCATACATGAACCGCGTTCTCATTGTGCGCGCGTGCATGTATATATGTTTGTATTTTTCAAGCAGGGCGTGAGCGCGAATTTTTCCGCGTGTTTTACGATGATTTAACGCGTGGTTCGACATAAACGCCTGCGTGCGCGAATAATCCCGTTAATATTGACGTTGACTCACAATACAGATCAGCGAGACGAACATTATAAATGAGCGTCGTGATCTCACAGCGTTCGACAGACAGAACGATTAATAATTGAAGTGAAATTAACGGGATAGATACGAGTCGATAGCTCGAAAGGATATTAATCTTTGGTTGGTTCGTCACGTCATATGACGTAGCGATCGAAAGTTGGCGAACAAGTATGTTTCTCCAGAGATGCTATCTTCGACGAGATTCAACGAGATTCGTAAAGTTCGAGGCACTCTCTATGACCAATACAACTGATATTTCCTTGCGAACAATCCGCGAGATTTCGAAATCACGTCCGCGAGAGATCCGGAGATTGATTAAACTTTTGACAGGTTAACGCGTATCTACCATCCTTTCTATCCATCGAAACAAATCCCGCCGTCTTTGTATATAGCCCGCAACCTGCATATGTACGTATGTATATACACGCTGGAGTGAATATACATATAGTCCCGACTCCTGTCTCGCCGGTCTCGCGCGGCAGACGGTTGGAGAAAGCCGCGCCACGGTATTTCCAATTTCGTGCCGTAGTAAGCCCCTGGCTGAGAGCGACGAAGCAATTGGCAATTCGCCTCGACGGGACTTTCAGCACTTTCAATTCGCACGGGGAGACGGGCCGCCGCTCGCCGCTCGCTCTTGCCGGGCGAATACACACGGTGACTGCGGGAGAGTCCGCATTCAGATGCGCCGTAACGATCACGATATCCAGCGGGAGAGCTGCTGCACGATCTGCATGCACGCTCCTCGCCTCGCTCGAGGACCGGGAATCACTGTGTTTCCCACGGTCCGAAAGCCTTTCGGATATATCGATCGCGAAGGCGCGCAGAACGTTTCGGCTCTCCAGAGATTTGCACGTTCCTCTTATTTATCCTCGTCTCTCGGATTCTCCCCTCAAGACGCTATTTCCTTCGTCGAAGTAATGCGTTGGCTCAACCGTGAGTGTCGGTTTAGCGTTCTCTTAACATTTATTTGGATCTACGATTCCAGATTTTATTTCTAGGATATATATTACTCTTCGTATGTAATTTTCCGTCTTCCAGCTTTTACGAGATAATCTCTTTCCTTGGAATAACTTTTTTAAAATAATTTTTTACAAAATATTGTTATATTCCCCAAAAGATAGTGCCGTCGGCACTATTTTATCAAACGGCGAGCGATTGTTATCTCTATATTGAATCGCGGAAGCGTTGAGAAAACTGGGTTCAAGTCGGAAAAGCGGATTGAGAATTAAACGGGTGGCGAAATCCGCGTAATTAAAAGATAAAAGGATCAGAGAGAAGATCAGAGTTCTGGGGTAGAGATGCGGGTAGTAGTTTATTTGTATCGTCGCTCCTATCTAAACTGTCCGCACCGGTCTTTCACTTCGCTCTCTTTTTTCCAAACGGAGAGAGGAATCAGAAGGTCGAGTTAGCTAAAGAGAAATATTTTGTTGTTGAATATTTGATAGTCTCGTTTAAACTTTCAATGCAAACCGCGACGTTTACGAGAACGACGCGCGAAAAGTCCTTTTTATTTTTATTTCTCATCAGTTAAAAAAATTCACGAGTGAATTGATGCCTTCGTACTTTTTGTTAAGCAAAACGACCTTGCAATTTGCCGGAAAAATCTCGCAGTCTCGCGGTGCTCGTTCTCGCTCGAATATCGCGAGCTCCCAGGTAAAAAACAGCCCGCGGCCGTACCTGCATGCGCGATATAAAAAAAACGTAATATTCAGAGCGCGTATGTAAGCAAGGTGTGTATGTGTGTTAGTCCCGGTGAAATTCGCAATTGCGGCCGCGCGGTTGAATTTCACGTGCTGACGGCGCGCACAAACGATGGCCGCGCGTTATTCGGTGAAGGCATACCGCTATTGGCCGGATAAAAATCCGAGCTGAGCAAACACGCCGAAGCATGTTTCGTTCGCGCGGGTTCTCTACGCACCGCTTACTTCTTGCATCGGATTAATCGGCATTTTTTTCTGCACGCACATGCGTGCGCTCGTATTGTGGCGCATGAAATAAACGAACTCGCCTCGTGGTTCCTCCACTGTCGTGCGTCTGATACAAATCGTTTCATCGTGAATAAAAGAATCAACGGTGATATGGTTACCGTTCTCTCCCCTCTCTCTCTCTCTCTCTTTCCTAGCTCTTTTTCTCCGTGCGTTCAAATATTCTGACCATGGAAATCGTCAGGAATTCCGAAAATATCTCGGTTATTGACGCGAAACGAAGTCACGTCGCGCGCATGGCTTTCGCGATCGCAAATTGCGCGACACTCTACCGTAGGTGTCATAAAACTACTGAAAGCTTTTTGCGTTATCTACTTCGTGTACTTCAATCTGGATTTAGTGCTTGTCAATGCGCGCGCCCACATAGCGTTACCGAAATCTACGAATTTCGATGAACGCGTCAATCGTTTCCGCTGGATCGAGAATGTGCTCACAAAGTAGAAAGTTCCGATTTAAATATCACGTCTCGTGCACATTACAACCTTTTTTTATTACATACATATATTTAAGCTAGCTGCTTTAATTAGCTTCCTCTGAAACTTTTCTTGCGATACTCAACAACATGCGTCGTAGTCGTATCTTGTTATTTTCCAATAAGACTTTCAGCAACTTCCGTATCTCAAACCTCTAACTCGATTCACTCGTTAACTCGTGATTCGCTCACAGTACTACTAGATCTACTACACCGTGTTCTTCTCTCAAGCTGCAACTTTAGGCTTCCACCGAGAAGTACAGTCCCCTGAGCGGGACTTAGTAAAAAGAGAGAAAGAGAGAAAAAAAGAAGGTGAAGGAAACGAGCCGCCGCCGCCGCCGCCGCGGCGCGCCGGTTCCGGATCTATCGATCGATGGGTTGGTTTGCTCGCTCGCGCTTGGTAGAACGCGCGGACGTTCTGTTCGTTCCCTCCCAAGAGAAACTTTCGCGGTAAAACCTCTCCCGTTCGCGTGCGCATTCTCCAACACATCCCGTCCCTCATTCGTTCCGTTCTTTTTCCTAGCTCGTCGTCCTACCTCTTCCATCTTTCGCTTACGCGCTTCCACAACGCCGCTTTCCCGATTCCACTTTGCCTCTTATCGACTTCCGCCCTTCCTTCCTTCCTAAACCTAAGGACTCGCCCCGGCCATTTCTCTCATGACCAGCCGACACCACCAACCGCCGAAGGTGGGGAAAAGAGATAGCCGGAAAAGCGAGTTCGTTCTCGTGACTAATTGAGCTATCGGTTCGCCAGCGAGAGAGATACGGTAGATCGTGGCAAAAGGGAACGATTCGAGAGCACGAGGACCGTCTCGACGAGGCAAGCAACCGTTGTTACCCTCTCGCACCATAGTCCTTATGTGTTTTCGCTCGCTCGATTCCATGAGCACTTATCGTACAGAGTTGGCCAGAGCCATTTCGCTGTCTCTATAAACGTACCGTTTCTGTAACCAGTTACTTGCTTGCTTAGCTGTCCTTAGGGAGAAGTCCATAAGGACTACGAGCAAATTCCTGCGCTAGTTTATTCTCTCTCCGTTCTTCTGCTTAATCTTAATTTCGCCACGACTATTTCCACCCTCTATAATTCGGTTTCTTGGGTAAGAGGCAAGAAGTGAAAACGATAGACTACATTTCACTTAAGATATTAGCAAGAACTTTACGCTCAATATACACATACATTTATTCGTTTTTGCAGAAATGCAAACGATAACCAGACCGAGGTAATATATTCAACTCTTTCCCTTTATCCAATCTTAATGAGTTTTACGTATTACTGATTAACAGTGTGCATAAAAATAAAAGATAATTTTTTTATAAATGCTCAATCGTACGTTAAAGAATTGAAGGATTTCTTTGAAACAACATCGATTACTATTTCGAGTGAATACTGTCGAAATAATAAGAGACGGAAATTATCTCAGATAATGTTTTTCATACATATCCTCAGCTCCAAGCTGTTAAGATTTTTCCAACAAGGAAACACTGAAAATGTCCTCCTCCGATTTTAATGAGCTTTAATTATATTGTTTTCCTAGACAAAAATGAGGAATATGTATAATTTTTTAAATAAAAATAATATGTAGGTATCTCTTATTTTTGTCTGGAGAACAACTTTATTATAATTCAAAGCTCAATAAAATCGGAAAAGGTAAAAGCAAAAATTAGAGAGTAAAAAAACAAAACAAGAAAGTAAAAAACAAATAAATGGATATACACATACGTATAATTATTTTTTGAAAATAATTTTTTACGATATTTTAGAAAAACATTGAAAATATCGCTATGCGCGTCACATTTATGTATTTTAGGTTCACTATAGCGACAGTTTTTTTATTTGTAATATATCACAATGCAAAATCATTTAAGGCAAATATGGTTATAAATAATTTTTATGCATAATTATAACCCGTTTGTTAAAATAATAACGTGAAAACGTTTTTGATGAGACATCAAAAGCTGCAGAATGATGTAGTGAGATAAATGGTGCACTGACGCAGTAGCATAATTTTATTTGCAACAATATATGCACCGTATATAAGCATGGTAACGAGACCGTCGTATCAATTTTCCAATAAAATTTATCTTCAGTAAAATAACAGAGTTATATTTTAATATAAAATATAATCACGCGTAAAAGAGAGAGAGAGAGAGGGGGGTGAAGAGAGAGAGGGAGAAGAGGGGGAGAGAGAAATAGGGAGAGAAAACTGTGGAAGAAATGAAAGAAAGTTAAGACCTGATTAATGCGATTACACGTAGTTCGCACGACAATATACCGGAAAATGTCAATTTC